CGTGGGCTGGGGAGGGAGGGATGAAACACGTCCCGAGCGGAGTGGGAAGCATTTCCCGGGGTGTGGGAAGCGCGTCCTGCTGGGGGAATGAGCGAATCCCGGGGGAAATTTAAGCGGGTCCTGGGAGGGAGGGATAAAATCCGTTCCGGGGCGGTGCTGCTCCATCCTGGAGGAAAAGTGTTGAGCGGTACCGCACACGGGGGCAGCGCTGGGGCTCTCGGCTTTAACCCGAGCCCTGCGTGACCTCCACGTGTCGCCCTTCAGTCCCCCAAGAAGGTGGGCGATGACATCGCCAAGGCCACGGGCGACTGGAAGGGGCTGCGGATCACGGTGAAGCTGACGATCCAGAACAGGCAAGCGCAGGTACCGCACGCCGCAGGGGCCGGCCGGTGCTGCAGGCCTGGAGCCCAGCCGGCCTCCGCCTGCTCCAGCCACCGGCCCGCATCCCGGCAGGGTCCACTCAGCCCTTCATCCTTCCGAGGTGGATAAAATGAGTGCCACACAGCGGGGGTGTGTGGGGGTCTTCTGGGAAGACCTTAAAACGTGGGTTGGGGGATGTGTGTGGATCCTGAGAAAAGATCCTCATGTGCCAAAATTCAGCTTTCATCCTATTGCAGATAAATTGTTCTTTTTATAGTACAGCCAACCAGTAAAAACACTTTAAAGCAGCATAGAAATAATACAAAATCTTGCCAAGTCCTGTAGCCACCTGCCACTGTACCTGTTCTGATGCCTGTGGCTGGTACATTCCAGTGGTGAGCTGAGAGGAAGCCCCAGGCAGGAAGCAGTCCTCTCCTGCATGTGGGGAGGCCTGTGCCGAAAACCTGGGAACAGATTCCTGCAGCACAAAAAAACCTGGAGCGTGAGGGAAATGATCAAACCCACACTGCTCTGGCAATTTGCTGTGATAATTGAGTGGTTGAGTTTCTTCATTAGTAATGGAATTTTGTGTAGAGACGGGGGGGAATTAATCTCTTTCCATTTAGATAGAGGTTGTTCCTTCTGCCTCTGCTCTGATTATCAAAGCTCTGAAGGAGCCACCTCGTGACAGGAAGAAGCAGAAGAACAGTAAGTGTTGCTCTGGTTCTGAATATTTTGGGGCTAAAAGAGGGGAAATACCAGTACCTTCCTCTGGGATTATACAGCACAGACCAGTAAACAGGGGACACAAGGCTGTTTTTGGGCATCCCTGCAGTGCCAACATCAGCCAGCAGAGCTCTGTGTTTGAGGGGATTATGGAGTCAGGGACAGGTTTGGGTTGGGGGGGATCTTAAAGCCCATCAGTTCCACCCCCTGCAGGGTGGAGCAGGGAGACCCTCCACCCTCCACTATCCCAGGCTGCTCTGTCCAGCCTGTCTTTGGACACTTTGGGGATCCAGGGGCAGCCACAGCTGCTCTGGGCAAAGCTGGGATGGAACAGGCACCTGCCCCTATAGCACAGGGCCTTGCACAGCCAGGGGAGCTGTGCAGGGAAATTCCAGCTTGGAAAGAGGAGTCGGGGATAATTTGGTGCTGCAGGCTGGGAGCAGCAGCACTGCTGGAGCTGCAAACTCGCAGCTCCCCACACGGTCTGAGTGCTGGGGATGGTGCTCCCAGGGGAAATGGGGAGCTGGCAGTGCCCAGGAGGCCTCACTGCTGCCGTTCCCTCACAGTTAAACACAGTGGCAGCGTCACCTTCGACGAGATCGTGAACATCGCGCGGCAGATGCGGCACCGCTCCCTGGCCCGGGAGCTCTCGGGTGAGTCCTGGGGTTGGGGCACAGGGAATTCACCTGCTCCATTTCCTGGGAGCAGAGCTGATGGCTGAGCTGTGCTGGGAACAGGCAGCCCCCACACCTGGGGAGGGGACGGGCACAGGGAGTTTCCAGTGTGTTCCTGGGGGAATCCAGCATGTGAGATCTGGGTAAGGGACTTGATGTTCCCTGTTGGGGGCTGTGAGGAGTTCTCTGTGTCAGAATCCAGATTGGTTTGGGTTGGAGGGGACCTTAAAAGCTCATTGAGTTCCAGCCCTTGCCATGGTTATAGGGACACCTTCCACTAGCCCAGGCTGCTCAGGTAAGCTCCTCAGATGTTTTCCTGTGCTAAAGCACTGACGAGCTGTGTATTCCTGCTGCAGGGACCATCAAGGAGATCCTTGGCACTGCCCAGTCTGTGGGCTGCAGCATTGATGGGAGACACCCCCACGACATCATCGATGACATCAACAGTGGTGCCATCGAGTGCCCGGCTGTAAGTGCCCAGCTCTGACTGAAATTGCTGTGTAACATTTAATTACTGAAAGACTCCACTAATGAGCTGTGTCTGCTTCTTCCAACAGAGCTAAGACTGCAGAAAAGGAAGTTGCCACATGAAGGCTCCTTCAGTTTTTTGTAGCACTTTAAATACTTAAAGAAAGACCCAGTTGTCTGCAAATCTTGTTGCTGGTCTGATTTGTCCCTGTCCTATGCTGTGAATTTTCCTCTGGGGAAGCTCTCCCTGTTTTTATAAATCCACAAGCCCTGTCAGACACCAGGTGTCCAGGACATCCCACTTGTGTCTCTGTCAGTGTGAGGGGGAGCTGGATCCTCCTCACTCTTAAAGCAAAACTGAGCAAAGCCTGACCTGGGTATTCCCAGCCATGGGAGTCAGTCTGTGGCCTGCCTGGTGTGGCTGTGATGCCCAGGGAGGGTTGGGTCCCTTCCAGCTGAGGTTTTGCAGGGATTCCACCACAAAGCTGGTGCCTGAGGCAGGGCAGCCTCTCAGCACCAGCTCTGCTTTAAATTCGCTTAAAATCTTGGTGCCCCTGGTGTTAGAAATCCACTCTGATGTGAGCCCTGAGTCTCAGGAGCTGTTCAGCCTTGTGCTGTCAGAGCTGTCCTGGGTAGGTTTTCCTCTGCTTGGCAGTGCTGGAAACCGTTGGAATAATGATTCCTTTTGCTTCCAGAGAGTTCTCCTGGGACAGGATCCATAACCTTTGCTGTGCTGCCTGAGGGCTCTGGTAGGAGCAAAGCAGTGCTTGGAAGGAGGGTTTGCCCTGCCAATAATTCATTTTTACCAAATCATGATGCCTCAGAAGGAGGCAGAGGGTTCCAAAAATAATAACAACCTACATTAATGTCACATTTAAACCCATCTTAATGTATTATTTAAATTGGTTATCTTTATTAATGACATAGATGAAGGGATCGAGTACAGCCTCAGCAGGCTTGCAGGTGACACCAGGCTGAGGTGCAGTGACACATCTGAGGGATGTGATGCCATCCAGAGGGACTTGGGCAAAGCTGGAGTTCATGGGAACCTCTTGAGGTTTAACCAGGCCCAGTGCTGCAGCTGCTCCTGGATTGGGGCAACTCCTGGGATCAATCCAAGCTGGGGATAAGCACATGGAGCAGCTGTGGGAGGATCCCACAAATCTTTAGGGTTTTTTTAGGGAATAAAGATGCAGAGGATACCCTGGGCTGAAATCTGAACCAAAAAGTTGCTGTGACTTCACAGGTCCTGAAGTAACCCCAAGTGCTGCACTGGCTGCAAGTTCTGGCAGTACCTGCTGCCCTCGTGGGGAGTCTCTTGGGGTGACCCCAGAGCAGCCCTGTGACCCCTCGGGCACAGCCACAGCCCCTGCCCGGGCTCACATCAACACCCCCAGGCAAACCCCAGCGCCGCTCTCGGGGATGCACAGGCGGGATTGTCGGGGTGTCCTGGGCAGGGCCCGCAGCTGGACTCCGTGCTCCCGGTGGGTCTCTCCAGCTCTGGACCGAT